TAGTACTTCGCACTTACTGATCTCCATGATTGGAAATGCCAAATGAAATGAAAATGTCAGCATTAGCATTATATACTTCTGAAAAAGTGATTCGACTATACCGACTCCACTTTGTAAATGCTCTTTGAATTTCATTCGTTATACCAGCACGTGATAATTTTGGGGTAAAATTAGATATACTAGATTAAAAATAATATACATGAATACAATGCAATAAAAATTAAATCTTGCTAAAACTTGTCACAACAAGATTATAGCAGAATTAATTCTAATAATATGTATAATAAATAATAATATAGTATTAATCTTTTTGTTGATATACTTTTGTTTTGATATACATATCTATATTGAGTTTTAAATTCATAATATTAATTAATTGAAATAGTAAAATAAGTCAACATACAAACAAGAGCAAATGTTCTTATCTTTCAGTATTCAGTTTGATGATTGATTAATTCTTAAGTTAATATCTCAAGATTGGTAATGCTAAATGCAAATTTTATAGTGACTTAGAGAGAAATATCAATTAATAGTGTTTATTCTTCTTAAAGTTCAAATTACGTAAACATATTGATATTATATATACTAATTCATAACACATAACACTATAGATGTATAATAAACTGAGAATTAAACTCATCTACTATAATAATAATAAGTTATGACATAAAAATTGTAGGTAATATTACCACAGTCCGCAATATAGCGCAATCGCTCCTCCTAATTATGTTTCTTTTAAAATATAGGTACTTACAAATAAGTAATAGTTCGTTTGTTCCAACCATTCGAAGGTGTAACAAATCTTTTATTCTTGGTATTCTTTTGTTTTAGCGATATGTCAGGTACACCGCAACGTTTTGACTTCACTAACTAAAACATTTTAATATCTTTATGTATTATAGGTAGCTTCCCAATAAAATTTTGTTMATCAGTATAAAGAAAAAGACCTTCCCTCCCAATGTTTATTTATATTAACACTGCAGGCACGTATGTATAACTGCGCGTATTAGAAAAAAATGTCATGGTGAGTTCATTGATAAAAAATATTTTTTGAAAATATTTTAGGAGAAGATATTAAACCTTCGAAGTCCAAATACCTGTGAGAATTATTATTCATAAAACAAGATGGACATATGGCAGCAGTTCTCAACTTTTGGAAGTCACGATCCCTTATTATAATTTCACCATAGGCAGCATATTATATATATATATATAAATAATTAATATATAATATATAATATATATATATTATAATAAAAGTAAAATATGAATACATTAAATCTTATAATAATTCATAATAGATAACAAGTTTTCCCATGTCTATTATAATATTAGTCATGACAATTAGGAGAAAATAATAAATATAACAAAACAAAAAAATGTATAAAGAGTCATGATAACTTGATTGACTGTTAACAGTACGACACACCCGTATGACGTGTTGTCTCCGTCTTAAAAGTGCGTAACATAGCAAAAACTGTTCCGCGCGGGAAAGAACCGTGAAATCTACAGTTATAATTTACTAAGAAACGAATTTCTCACCATATAAAAGGAGAATTTTGTCTGTGCAATATCGTTTTCACTTTTTTTCATTTTTGATTTTTTTTTTTTTTTGATATCAGAACTACAAAAAAAGTTATTCATGTTTAAAAAACACAAAAATAATGTACCTATTATATGAATCAATAAGAACTTTGTTTGTGTAAGCGATATCAAAAAAATAAAAACGATAATGCACAGACAAAATTCTCGTTTTGAAATGGTAAAAATGTCGTTTCTTAGTTATAACTGTAGCTTTCTTGGTTCTTTCCCGCAAGAAACAGTTTTTGCTATGTTACGCACTTGTAAGACGGAGACAACACATACGGATAGCTTTCTTTGGACTATATCTTTTAAATAATTAGTTCTGATTAAACCTAAGTAGTAGGGTATCGGGATCGGGTTATCCTCGAGATGCAAAGCCCCATGACAAAAACGATCTTATTTGTCAAGTGTAAACCTATTCTAGACTACAATTAGGAAGCCAGGCTATTTTACCGTTTAAAAATGTAATCGCCTATATTACAGACACACACTCTACAATTGATCTAATATGGAATTGTATAATGTCAATTGACATCTATATAAGGAATTGTATAATATCCACTGATATGTTCAATTCATAATTAACCCTGTACAGCCTAACAAAACCCAACTCTCGCAACGATTTACCTATATTATACATACAACATATGTAGTATAAAGGATAGTGTTAAAGTAAAAATAAAACCTAAATCTTTAACGTTATTTATTCACTGTAATATCTCGTCTTCACAAGACTTATCATAATGAAAAATGGATATTCAGTTCATGACTGCGGGCCTATCAATGTCAAAAACCTAAAAACGTTTCTTCAAAAAACTCCAAAAAGTCGGAGGAGCACTCCACTATAAAATTGGCAAAAGACCCAACAAACTAAGATTAAAACCATGGCTACCACAAATGTTTTTACTTAAAGCTCAAGAATGTAGAAGAGGATTATTCGGAATCATAATCAAAACAAAAAAAATTTCCGAGGTCATGGAAGAAAGCTGTGGAGGTACGACTATTGAAAAATCGTGACAAGGATAAGTCGGACCCCAAGTCTTATAGGCCGACAAGTCTGCTCCCGGTGCTGTCAAAGGCACTGGAGTACCTTGTCTGCGTGAGGCTTCGGGAGATGATCGAACCGAGGATAACCGATAAACAATTTGGAATTACGAGGAATAAGAGTACCAATGATGCAATATTGAGAATGAGAGAATGGGCTGAAAGCCGGGTTGAGAAGTACGTTCTCGGGATGTTCTTAGTCATCTCGGGAGCGTTCGACAACGCCTGGTGGCCAGCTATATTGCATCACATGACCAGATTGGGCGTGACGAGGAGGATGTGTGAGCTGACCCGAAATTATCTAGGGGGTCGATACGCCAGCATCACTGTGCCGGCGGGGAGGAGTGAGCGGAGGCTGTCCAAGGGTTGTCCTCAGGGTTCGCAGTTTGGTCCGGAACTTTGGAAGATCTTAAGGGACTCTTTATTGAGTCTTGATGGGTCGGAAGAAGAACTATCCATTGGTTACGCGGATGACGCGTTGCTAATGATAGCCGGCCGGACTCGAGCCGAGGTGATTCGAAGGACAGAGGAGAAACTGAAAAGTGCAGGGTCCTGGGCGAGCGGTATGAAGCTGACCTTCTCGGGCACAAAGACGAAAGTCRTGTGTCTGAAAGGAAAGCTGACACCACCTTACACAGTTAGGATGGACGGGCGGCGGTTAACGGAGGTAACAGAGATGGAATATCTCGGAGTTACATTGGACGATAGGTGGAGTTTTAGAAATCAGGTGAAGAAAGTAGCGGGAAAGGCGGCTCCAATGTTTCAGAGGATCAGGCGGATTGTAGCCTCTACCTGGGGTCTTAGTGGCCAGACGCGCAAATTATACTTAGGTGTATTTGTGCCGAGAATGGTTTACGGTGCAGCAGTGTGGGGTGAAATCGCTAACGATCGGATGATGAAACGCCTACTTCTCGGGGCTGAGAGAGGTGCTCTCCTGTCAGTAACCGGGGCCTACCGTACCACAAGTACGGAGGCCCTGCCTGTGCTAGCGGGGGTATTGCAAGCACGGTGGGAGGCTAGTGAGAAGGGTAGACTCACATATAGCTATWTCTCATCAGTGAAAGAAAGGTTGAAGTGTAAATGGTTGGTGGTGGATCACAAATCCTCCCAGTTCCTCACGGGACACGTGGGTTTAATGGCTTATCTCCACCGCTTCTCTAAATCAGAGACCGACGAATGTCAGTCATGTGGATCTTTGGATACGGAACATGTCGTATTCCACTGTGAAGCACTRGCGGGCGCTAGAAGGGCACTAAGAGACCTAGTGGAGAGAATTGGCCTACAGTGGCCGTGTGAGCTGCGGTCGCTTGTGAGTTCGCCTGAACTTTGGAAAGAGTTCAGGTCGTTCATGCGGGTGGCTGTGGTTTCTAGCTGTCATGTTGTGGGTCAATAGGATGGTAGCGTCTGGGACGCGGAGTGGTAGCGATAGGACGGTATAACGGGAAACCGAAAGTAGCGACCCGAGTGGTCGTGTACACGGGGACTGGCGGACGTCACTCGTACCTGAGGTACGAGTAAGCATCTGGGATGCGGGGTGCAGCGTAAGTGGGAGTGATGGTGAGAGAGTCGTGGTGAACTGTTCTACGGGATAAGCACTGCGGCTACTCAACCAGTGGCCTACGTGTTTACACTAGGTGCGCCTGGGGCGCGTTGTTGATACGACCGAAAGGTCTGTAGGCGCTAGTCGGAGCGAGGAGAATGGAGTACTCACTCCATTATAAACATTAAATGAGAGGCCGCGACTGCCGCTTGACCTGCGAACGCGGCGTCATGGGCCAACCACTAGCCCTCTGATGTCTGTAAAAAGTAAATAGTCGGGAGGCAAAGACCAAGCTACATGGTAGCAATGATGGCCCTCTGGCCGAAACGTCGCACTCTGGACGCTTGGTTATTAAAAACCGGGGATGAGTACTACGGGAACGACGTCTGGGCCCAAGGGCCGAGTAAAATCGGTGCCGACGTCTTGGATCGGTCCATAGTGGCAGTCATTTATATGACGAAAGTGGTTGTTGATCGCATGCTGATCAGGCAAAAATTAACGGTGAGTATTCTCCCGGGAATCTAGCCACTCTGCCGATGGGAGTATATCACCTGGCGGTTGCTTAAACCATATTAAGCAGCGGGTTGGATAGTGTCGCGGCCTCACCAGTGGTCGACGATGAGAAATGACAAAATCTCGAAGTTAAACTGGTAGCGAGTGAAAAACTTCTCCCGCTCGAGGGGCGTAAGAACTCCACGGACGGTGGCAGCGACAGGTTCTTCCTGGTCTGTCTCACTTAGCGATGCCTATCGGACCGCAAGGAAAGATAGGTGCCTCCGTCTGAAAGGGGACGAGCTTACGCTCATATACCTTTCTTACGGAGTGTAGGGCCTAGTCCAAACTGGAACTTCATGGTTCCTATAATTGTATTGTTTTAACAAAAGTTTAAGAAACAATATTCATAACCCATTGACTTGGTTTTATAGTTTTGAATACCCAATAATGACAATCCCGAACTGCTATTGAGCCTACTAACATTTGATAAACTAAAATCTCTGTAGATAATTATCATGTACCACCCAGAAGACTGCCACAATTTATCAATAGTTTCAGAATTTGACATGACGTGTATCTCAATTAGGGCTGTAGCTATTGATTATGAAAATGTACAAAATACATACAGGGCACAGGCCTATATAAGAACTGAAGGAAAATAATAATTTCCAATGAAGCGAGAACAATATTGTTTTATTAATGATTATAGGTTTTTACCATTGTTACCCAGCTCGGTGAAAAAGGAGTATCATACGCATTAATAGTTTTAGTAACACAAAACTGTTGAATACCTAGTGCCTATTCTACAGCAGTCAAAAATATTTAACTGTCCAAATCATACTGATAGGTACACATAAATATCGTATTGTCATATTGATGATGAATTTCGTCTAATATAGTCTAATGTACCAAATAATTACTAAAAGATGATTTACTCTCGTGTTGTTCTATATGAAATAGTTTGACGATTCTAATAGTACCAAGAACAACATTAATTTACTAAATATAACCATAAGGGCAAGGTTAGGTTAGAATATACAACCAATAGGTTTGTTTTCATAGGCGAGGCGGTAGAAACACCAGAAACATATTGAAAAAAGCCTCTCGTTCTACCGCTGACCGCTGGGTCACGCTCGGTATCCGGACAATTTCCCCCCCGGACATTTCCCCCTCCCGACTGTTTTTGGCGTAGTAGGACATTTTCCCC